ACACTTCCAGCCTCAGTAACGAGAGTGAGACCTTAAAAAAAAAAAAAAGCCCTCATTTCTCTCCAACCACAGTTCTATGCCTGCTTCATAGACTTCTCAAGTGTGTCCCATTTTCTTCCATTTCCTTATCTCTTATCTGCTTTTCAAACTGAAGCTTCTTACCTCACTCTGGTCCTCAATAGTCACCAATGACCTCCATGTCACTAAATCCAGTAAACACTTTATTCTTAGTTTGTCCTCTGGCAATATGTGACATTATCAGGTGATGTCAAAGTTGAAAATCTCTAGGCATCTAGGACGCAATCACTTGCTTTCTATCTTCATGCTATTCTTCCTCAATGCTTTTGTGGACTTCTCTTGCTTTATCGGGTAGTCTGTACACATTGGTGTTCTTATACTATCTCCCTTGGCTTCAGTTAGCAGCTGTCAGCCAGTGACTTCTAAACTTGTTTCTGTCTCCTAATACCAGACCTTTACTAACTTGCCAATTCATGTTATCCCTAAATTTGCTCTTGCTCATTTATGGTGCTGTCTCCCATCCTTTTGCACCAACTAAACCCCCTGGCACTGTTTTTCACTCCCACATCTCCCTCAATATCCTGGTTCAATCATCACCAAGAACAGAATCAATTTTCTAAATGTTTCCTTTTTGTCATTGTTGAGACAAAGTCTCACTATGTTGCCCTGGGTAGAGTGGTGTGGTGTCGCAGCTCACAGTAACCTCTTGCCTCAGTCTCCCAAGTAGCTAGGACTACAGGTGCCTGCCACAATGTCAGCTTTTTTTTGTTGTTGTTATTGCAGTTGTTGTTTAGCTGGTCCAGGCCAGATACGAACACACCAGCCTTGGTGCATGTGGCCAGAACCGTAACCACCGTGCCAAGCCTAATCTAAATATTTCTTGGAGCTATGTTCTCCATCCTTACTGCCCAGGTCCTGATTCTGAGCTGCCATTATCTCTTTTGTTGAATTTTCAAAAGCCGCCTACTGAGCTCTCCACATCAGCTCTTACATCCTACAGTACATTCTCCACTCAGCAGTTCCAGGAATCTTTCTGAAGTACAAATAATATCACAAAACTCTTCTGCAGTAGACAGAATTCCTGTATAGGAGTTTCTCAGATGTTGGAGGGCAAAAGATGGAAATAGAACCTAAGTTAGCACCATATAATACAAACCAATGTCACAGATCAATGAAAACATGGTTGTCTTAAGGTTGCCTTTACTTACACTTGATGTAATATTGAGATCAATTTGCCCAATTTATTTAGAACTTGGGTCTTGCTCTGTTGCCTGGGCTAAAGTGCAGTGGCATCAT